TTGTATGAAAGTGATGCTGTACGCCCCCCCTGAGCCCCTGTACGCACCCCCTTTCTTGGAAGCGGTCTGGCGGGGGGGCGGAAAGGTACTTGGAGGACCTGTACCGTGCTGACAGTGAGTGCCTGATTGCACGTTGCTGCACTGCCAGGCCGTTGACAGGTGCTGTGGCCACTGGTTGGCCTGCACTGGCACAACGCCAAAAGCGTCCAATCCACTCCGTTATTTCGTACCACACCCCCCGAACCCCCCCCCCCAGACCCCCCTGTCAGACCACCGCTCACTGCCTTGGCCCTGCTTTTTTTTTTGCCCTTTGGCTCATCTCGCGAGCACTGCTGAATACATAAGGCTTCCCTCTCCCACCTCCGTCCAACGTCCGACTCTCCCGTTCACGATACCTTGACCTTCGCAACTGCCTCTTCAAAGCAATATCACTGCTACTTGCCTGCATCATCTACCGTCAACATCATCAACACTACTTCGCACAAGTACTCTGCTACTTACACCACCGCCGCTACCACAACACCTGCGAACCGTCCCATCTGGCCGTTTGCACACAAGCCAACAGCAACACCACATTTATCTATTAAATGTCGTTTTGCGTCGAGCTTCTCTCCAACATGCCAGCTCAGCGTCCTTCTCACCTTCCTCCGTGCCCTGGGCCTCCTCCCAGCCGCCCTCTGCCACCTCTGCCAAAGTAAACGAGCTCCCAACTAGCTTTCAACCACCTCGATACGACTCGGCTACGCTTCGGATACTCACAATCATGGACTTCTACTCGGAAGACGCCTACCTCAACGTTCATGGAAACACCCACGACAAATTGAAAAACACCACCACGTCATGTTTGGTGGCTTGATCAGCCCTCGACTCGGCCACTCACTGCATCTGCGGGTCTGCACCCGCAGATAGACATGCATGCATACCTTCAGCCTGGCTACTGCGCGGCATCAACCCCCCCATTCGTTGACCGCAGGCGCCTCGCCGTCTTTTGTCCTGCATATTTGGTCATCTGCCCTCGACGAAGCCCCCACAACCTTGCCTTGGACTATTCTCTCTGGTCATGTCGACGGACAATGGTTCCTCGACCAGCCACTCCGTTTCTTGCCGGCGCTGCCTGCGGCTGCAATACCTGGCTTTTCATTCTACCCAGGGTTCTTCTGCTACTTGGCCCATGCTACGATCCGCTCAGCTGCATCCTCGATCTCTAGTCACGAGGACAGTCGTTCCGGCAGCGGGCAGCTCCTTGCTCGGCTCTTGTTTCTTTCTCTCAGCATCACATACGATCTTCGCTGGCTCGAAGCCTTGTTCACCGTTTCGGATTTTTCGTTTTTGCCCGTCATCTTTCCTTTTCCGCATCAAGGACGTATACTACAAGGAGCGTGCATAATACATGGAGGGAGAAACAGCACGATCCCCTTTTTCTTTGCTTTCATTCTACGAGGAGGATTTACACATTATACACTTGTACTATTAGATATGCTGGGGCCAAGCCTGCCTTGTTGGCTGGCATGACACCCAGGCGTTTACACGATTTCGGAAAGCATTCATGATACACACATTTGGGGACATATAGAACACACGGAAATATCCAGCACAGTTTCTTGGCACAAAGACGTGTTCCACTGAAGACTCGGTGTAGATGTTGGTAAAGAGCAGATGTGCATCTCGCTGGCGCATATAGATTCATTTGATTTTATTTTAGACGAAAGATGGTTGCCTCTTGACCGCCCTGCCTGCGTGTTATAGCTGCATGTCCATAGTACTGCATTTGTCATAAGCTGGCTCCCTGATGAAGGGCGATGTGGTCTGCGATGTTGGCGACTTTTGTCGCTATTCTGAGACGGCGGAACTGTATTATCCAAGAAATTCAGCCTCAGCCAGCCCGAGCCTGCCATGCCCGCGACTCCGCAAGTGAATCAATCAAGCCATGTCTTTGGCCGGTCCGTCTACAGCTCGCATGCAGCCGCTGTGGCGGGGTAAGTAAGCCCTGACGCCTTCTTCTTCTTCACAGCATGCATGTCCGTTTATTGCTTTTTCTGCCCCTCCAACATGCCTTTTTTCCTTTGTGTTTCTCTTTTTAGCAGTCACATCCATGATACAGTTAGCGCCGTGCTGGGTGCTGCTATCGGCGCACGCCGCCAGCCCAAGGTTGCAGAAACAAAGTTCAGGCTCGTCGTCGATCTATCCTTGCCCCCTCGTCTCCCGCCGGCCGGACTCGTACGTACACGCGCGCGGACGCCCGGTTCGGGCTTGGGGTTTCGAGGTTGCATTTGGCCAAGCTCCCCCGCCAACGCCAACCCAGCACCAGGCGCATAATGGGCCAGAGATGACTGGTCTTTTTTTCTTTTTCTTCGTCCAAGCCTGAAATTGGCCCATTCAAAACTACAACAAGGACAAGAAGCGAACCGGAAACGGAATAGGATGAAACGTGCGGGCGGCGGGCGCGGGGTTGGAGGGAAAGAAAAGTCCACTGCTGCTGCGGCACGCACACACAACACACTCACACACTCACACCATCAGGAATCGAACGACTATGCTATGAATAGAGGAGCCGAGGGGGCGGAAGAATACAGTGCTACGTCAAAAATCAGACATCCCGGTCTTGCCGGCTAGCTGCCTTTTTGGGCGGACCAGTTCATCCACAGCCCTGCAAGCCACTTCAGACCGGATTACGAGACGGCCTCCTGCGTCCATGTCACGATGCTAATAAACGTCGTCGCCAAGAAAGAGAAAGACAGAGCAGATGAAGCAACTAGAGAAAAAAGGGCTGCACTCTTCGGTACCGAGATGGCCACACGCACACGCCTCACCGTAGTGTCTGAGCCTGTGCCAGGGCGGGGACGAAGTTGTTGAAACGCAAACGAGCGACTATCACGGGCGCAATTCCGCACCGTCTGCTACTCATGTCTCTCGCATTTCATTTGATCTTGAAACATGGTCACACGCGGTCCCGCGTCGTTTAAAGAGAATGATGCGGGGAGGGACGAAAATGGCAACCAGAGGACGCCGGGTCTGCACCGCATCGGATGCCTCTTTGCAGACAAGATGCAGGCAGCCGTCCAACAACCCTCCTCCACTTGGGAACGCTGGACCTCAATGGGTCGATGCCGATGGCTTGCCGCAGCTGTGGCATCGGACTGCCGGAATTTTTTTATTTTTTTTTCTCTTCTCCTTCTTTCCCTTTTTGTCTCGGTGCTTTTGAGCAAATACCGACATGGTAAAATCACACATCAACTTCATCGGCCGGCCCGGGTGTTTCAAGTTGAAAACAGCTGGCCAACGGAAAAACAATCCGACGACGCCTTCTCCTCTGCGGCGCCACCAAAATGTCGATCGATGACGTTGCGGTGCTGGCTCATTTCCATGTTGCGGTGGGCAAGCAAGCAAGCAGCCAGGGGCTTGTTGGCGGGATGACCACAGATATCTACTCCGTACGGGATACACGACACATATTCCGTCCTTCTTTTCTTCCCCTGCGACGTGTGGCGAAAACAGCTAACTAGTTACGTATGTCGCCCATCCCTGGTTTCGGACGTTTTGGCGCAACGACTTGCGCGCCATGCTGGCAAGCTGGGTATTCCCAGCTCCCAACCCCTGGCCGGTTCCTGTGATTTGGCCTTATTACTCCGAAGATGCAACTTGATGATAATATTATCTACATGAAATCACTGCACTACGCTCCCCGCCCCGATGCAGCACCAAACCTACGGACTAATTCAGGGGACTGCATAGTCCCGGGTCCCGCCTATTATCATTCGTCCAGGATCGTGAGATATGCCGGGGGGGCGTGTGTCCTGGCCGCTAATACGGAGGGTACATGAATAAGAAGATGGAAAAAAATCATCACAATGGCAAAAATATCATCATGTTGTGCAATCTCCTTGCCTGCAGGCACTGGGGGCAGGGTCCCTGAACGCCCACATCGGTGACCACGAGATCCAGGCATGCGGGGACGGCGTGTACTCAAAAAGAGACACAAAGTCCATTGTTGAAACTACTCATTTCACAGGTGCAGATCACAAGCTACTGCTGCAAGTTTCTCACTCAATTCAACAAATCTCCACAAAGTCAACCTCTGTCCTTTTCAGCCTGTTCCTGAGCAAAGTGGAAACCCCTGAGATTTTGCCACGTTCCTCAACTTGGCTCCAGGTGTAAGCCTTTCGCAACCCTGATTCGTGTTCCTGGATTTGGTCCGCTAGTCTGTCTTGAGCCAAGTGCTCGTACAGGTTCGGCTTCGGCGTTTTGCACTAGTTAGTTTGCCTCGCTCTTTTTATCCATCCCATCCCTTTTGTCACCAACGTATCCAGTTCCAATGGCAGTCTACAGACTTTGGGGAAGCCTGATCAAGCTGAAAAAGGGGAGGGGGGGGGCCAAGATGAGCAATGCATCGTACTACTCTGCCGTGCTAGCGAGATTGCTTGGACGTTGATATTCCGTCGTTCGTTGCCAAAAAGCATCGCGCCATGGGCGCCATAGAGGGAAGGTTGCCTTGTCAATCTTCAGCCCAAAAAAAAAAGTCCGGTTTGGGCTGATGGTCAGGAGGGGGCTGACAACCTGACTCGCCAGACTGGTTCATCCGACATGTGCTAACTAGTTATTATGGCCAGGATCGCATGAATTTTGGCAGACAGCCACCCGAGGAGTCGAGGATGCAAGATGCCGATTGACTTTATTACGGCTAACTAGTAGCAGACCTATAAGATGGAAAACCACGACAAAGAGAAAAGGGAAAGCGCACGTGCCTTGAAGTTATTACTCTCTTGCAACTGTAAACTTAACGTTACTCTTGCTCGCAAACTGACTGGTCACTCCATCTCCCCCCTTCCCCCTTCCCCCTCGTTTAGCAACTCCGACGGCGAATCGCCGTGAGCTGAACAACAGGGCGCGCCATGTCCGACTCCCCTTTCGATGATGTAAATTTTTCAGTGGTCCATGACTCGACCAAAAAAGCCGTTGGCCAGTCTAGTGAGCTTTTGCCATCATTATTATGTCCACGTCTGCTAAGGGGAAAAAAGGTACATGTCGACCTCGTACCTGGACACCATGGTTTGTTCATTCGTGTTTGCGCAAAGTGACATACCATGCGCCACTGCTGCTGTCCACATGTGGACCAAGTTTGCCGAGCTCCTCGGCGAACAAGGCCGTCTTGGTCGCATCTTCGTGCAACTATTCATGCCAGAATGAGCAAGGTGGTCCAATTCAACAAGAAGAGATGAACATGTATGAGAAAAAAATTGACAAGTCAACGTCCATACCTCGATGCTCTCCCATCCAAGAAGGAAAACCGAGAGCAGTCTGTCCTTGGGTGGCAAGCAAACGACGGTCGTCGCCGCCGGCGCCGCCGTCTCGCCCTCGACAAGCGTTGTGTTGGTCGCAAAACCCCAGTCGCCGCCGACGAAGCCCAGCATGTCGAAGCAGTCTGTGTACAATTTGTGCACCGATTCGAGGATGGTGTCGTCGAGCACGGGCGTGCCTGGCTTGAACCGTAACACGACCTATCAGAGACGGCCGTTGTGTGAGCAACCTGGTTCATCAGAAATCACAGAAATCACACGCACGGTCGTCCCCAAAAGAACGGGTTTGTTCCCCGCGCGCGAAAAGGCTGAGACTGTGGAGTGACTAGAAGGAAACCATATTTAACTTACCACTTCGCAGACGGGAGCATCGAGTCCCGAAACTAAGTCGTCGTGATTGCTGCCGTTCATCTCGACGGTGACGTCGGTCACGGTGCCATCAACGAGCTCCCGCAGCGAATCACGCAGGGGCGTGTCCCAAGCCACTTCCCTTGGCCATTCTAGCGAGGGCGTGTAAGAAGAGTTTAGTAAACTCTGTTTCTGTTTCTTGTTCTTTCTTGGCCCTGGCCACACTGCCGAAAAAGACCACTCTTCTGTTACCGAGCCAAAAGTTCAACCAACTCACGAATAATCCAGGTGATCTCGTGTCTCGGCTTGGGCACGGCCCTGCGCATCGAGACAGAGTAGCCAAAGTACTGGCTCAGGGCGCCGGCGCGCGCCACGGCCTCCCGCACATCGTCAAAAGGTGCCAACGGAGATTGTGTCCGTTGGCGGCAGAGTAAATCGCAAGATCTGGCATCTCATTTTCGTGTGGAAACTAGATGATCCTTGCAGCTCATGTGCAAACTGTTCATGTGCTCTTCACAATGTCAAACGGCGTCAGCACTGGATGGCAGCGACTGTAAGCAGCATGTAGATGTGCAGATTTTGTTACTGTGCTTCTTCTTCAAGGTTCCCTAAAACAAGGCTGATGGAAAATAGCTTGTAACATGATCTCACTGTCACCAATTGTGCCCCTCATCGTTCGACGTGAAGGTTGCTTGGCGTTTTGCTACCAAACCTTCACGGTCGCAGTGCGTCACGTGGATCGCGTTGCATCCCCAGCATCGACAATTAACTCTAATAAGGCAGTTGAGCCAAATTTAGATGTTCGATTATCAAGTTAACGACAATGTTTATCTTGGTCCGTTTTGGGCAGTTTTTGGTGAAAATGGCATCCGCACTTCTCTGTTGCCCGAGATGCCCAGGGTTGTGCAAGTCATCCCGAGTTCAGAGTCGCATCTGCAACTCGCGTAATCATACAAGTCGCAAAGTTCGAGTTTTATTCGGAGATTGTCTCGCACCCAGGTATATCTCACTAGACATCGAGTGGCCCTTTCGTGACCGAGTAATGTCTTGACTTCAAGACAGGGTCAAAGGAATGTGCCCGACAGCCGGGCACATTCGCAATTATACAGATTTATGGCAGACCAGTCAATATGGTCCGTGCAACGTAACTAGTGGCTCGCATCCTATACAGATCATGTTGTACTGGTAGAATTTCATCACTCGAATTCATAAACTGCAGGGTAGGCAGTTATCCAGATCACTCACCCTCGCTCTCACGAGGGTTGCGCGACAAGCAAGAGAGTAACTGGTTACACGCTATATTAACTATTAGAATCAAGGTGTATTCGAATAATAACAAAGCAATAATAATATTAATTTAGTTCCTAATAATTAAGATAATCTAGATAACTCTAATATAAATACTACCTTCTTTAATAGCTAAGATTAATAAGTCTATAGCCTTTAAAAGTAGGTCTCCTACCTATATACTAGCTAATAAAAGGCTAGTTTTAAGTTACTTATATATAGGGTTAATACTTATACTTTCTCTCTTTATAGCTTTATAAATAGGCTTAATTTACTTAAAAATATAATAAAAAAGCTATTCTTTTTAATATTATTAATATTAAAGCTTTATTCTTCTATTCTAAGCTTTTCTTAGTTAATTAAAGCCTTTTTTTCTTTTTATATATATACTTTTTTTTTAATAATTTCTTTAATACCTTAATCTTTTAATAATTTACCTTTTTTAGTTTATTTTTATATTCTATTTATTTTTTTATTTATATATTTAATTTATTTAATTTAATAAAACTTTATATTATTTAATTTAATAATACTTTTATTATAATATTAATTAGGTTATTATTATTATTAATTTATTATAATTTATAAACTTCTTTTTTTTTATATAATTAATAAAAAGCTATAATATTAATTATTAACTATTTCTTTTTAGTTATTTTAAGCTTAATAAGGTATTTATATAGTAATAAAGAGTTAATATAGATAATTATTAGGATTTCTAGGATATTTAATTTTTTTATAATTATATTAATTATTAAGCTAATAATATATTTTATATTTATTCTTATAACTATATTATATAATTCTAATATTAAAGTTAATTTTATTATTTTTTTTAACTTTATTAAGTTTTAAATAATAATATTTCTTTTAAATATAAATTTATTATTATTAATTTATTTTTTATTATTAATTATAATAATATAACCTATTTAAAAGCTTAAATCTTTATTATTAATAAATAATCTATTAATAAAGATAAATATCTTTACTTTCTTAAGGTCTATTAGGATATATTAAATACCTTTTTCTTAATTATCTATTTACTACTAGATTTTTATTCTTAGCTTTTTAAAGTCTTCCTTTTTAGGTTATTATTATTATATAATTATAAAAAAGTTAAATACTACTTTTAGCTAGTAAATATTAATAATATATACTCCTTAGGCTCTTTACTAAATATACTCTTCTTTAGTTAAAAGTATCTTTAGTTTCTTTTTTTATTTATATTAGTTTATAATAATTATATTATCTTTCTTAAGATTTAGGTAGTAGCTATTAAAGAATAATAGGTTTTCTATTATTAAATTATCTTTTAGTTTTATAATAATACTTATTTTTAATATTTCTTTATTTTCTTTTTTAATAAAGCCTTTATTATTTAGAATAAGTATATTATCTATTTAAAGGCTTATAATTCTAAATTCCTTTTTATTTAAGATAAAAAGATATAGGTTAAATATTAAGGTAGCTTTATTTTAGTTATTAAAGCTATAAATTACTATTTTAGACTTTTTATATTTTTTCTTAGTTTTTTTACTTTTAACTTTATTAATAAGTTTTAAATTAAAGATTTATATACTTTTATAAACCTTAAGGTTAAATTCTATAAATTTAAATATATTAATAGCTATTAAACCTTTAATTTCTACTTTATTTAACTATTTAAATAGTATATTAGGTATTATAATAATTCTAGTCTTATATAATTTAATTATTAGTTTATAGTTATTCTTTTTTTTTATAAAAAGGTATATTTTAAAATATATAATATTTTCTTTATTTATAGTTTTTATTATAAAAATCTTATAACTACTTTTATTATTTAGGTAATCTATATACTTTTTAAATTCTATATTTATTAAATAGGCTTTATATCTTTTTATTAGCTTACTTTTTATTAATTTTAATAATCTCTTTATTATTATCTTTTCTACCCCCCTTTTTATAATCTTATCCTTTTTAAAAGGGTCTAGACTATATAACTAAGTAAAATTTCCCTTTTTTTTAACTTAAAGACCTTTTATTATCTATTATTAGCTAGGCTAGGCTAACTAAGACTAGATATTAATAAGAATTATTACTTAATATCTAGTCTAATTATTATACTTAATAATATATATTAGTTTTAGTTTTATTAGGTTATTTTCTTTATTCTTTTTACTTTTAAATTCCTTAATACTACTAGTAAAGACCTAGCCTTTATTAATATCTTAACTAGAAGTTAAGCTTATAGTGTTTTTATTAAAAGCCTAGCCTTTATTAAGGTTTTAACTAAGAGCTAGGCTTATAATACTACTAAAAAATACCTAGCCTTTTAATTCTATAATTTCTTAATTAGACTATATAGTAATAACCTCTTAGTTATACCCTAATAGTATTAATAAGGCTTTATTAATATCCCTATTCTTAAAAAGGTTTCTAGCTATTATTTTAAACCCTCTTTATACTCTACTTTTACTTTTATTACCCCCTTTTTTATATTCTATTTTAACCTCTTTTATCCTTTTTCCTTTTAACTTATTTTTTTAAAAGGAATAGATTACTATTAAATAGAACTTTAATAGTCTTTTTAATATCTTAATAATATAGGTTTTACTTCTTATTATTATTATTTTAAATAAGCTTTATTATCTTTTTTTTTTATATTATATAAAGATATTTAATTATAAAGGTAATTAATAAAAAAAGCTTATATTTAGCTTATTTCTTTAGGCTTATACCTTTTTAATTTAATATTTCTAATAAAAAATATAGACCTTTATTATTACCTTCTAAATTACTTTACCTTATTTATAAATATTTAAATAAAAAGGTAATTAATAAGATATTTAGGAATATATACTAAAAACTAATAGTATTAAAATAAGGCTATTTAGGCCTATTATATTATTAATAGCTTTAATAACTATTTAAAGAATTTAATACCTATTTATAATATTATTAATATTATTTTTAATAACCTTAAATACTTAATAAAAAATACTATAATACCTTTCTACTTTTTCTATACTATTATAAGCCTTAATAAAGATAGCCTAGATCTAGATATAAAGGCTATTTATATATATTTAAATTTAATAAAAGTAAAGTTCTTTTTAATATTATAAATAATCTAGTTAGGTAAGCTAATATATATATTAATTTAGTATTTTAAAATTATATTTTATACATTTTTTACCTTCTAATCTTAGCTTTAAAAAAATCTTATAACTTAAAAGGTTATTATTAAATTAATAATATAAAAAATTAGCTTATTATTAATATAATAAATATCTATTATAATCTTATACTTAAATTTATAATTATTCTTAATTATAAAATAAAATTAGCTAAAAGCTTTTTAGTTTAGTTAGTAATTCTTATATATCTTTATTATCTTCTTTAAGGTATTAATATTAAAGTCTTTACTAATATATTCTAGAATATTACTTAAGTAGTAAGTTAATAGGTAGCTAAATCTCTAATATAGTTACTTAAGCTTTTATTTTATAAGGTAAAAGGCTACTATTAAAGCTAGGCTTAGTAGCTAGAATAGGTACCTCTATTACCTAATTATTAGGATAATAATATTATTTTTAATAAGGGTATTTATAAGGTTATTAAATTAAATATTAAGTTAATCTATATTCTTAAGGAATATTAAGAAAGGGGTTAGTATTAAAAAAACTTAGAATTTAAGGTTCTTAATTACTATTTATAGCCTAATAATACCTAATAATATAATTAGGTTTATTTTATTAAAGAATATTATCTTTTTAGTTTTATTATTTTATTTAATTTAGATTATTAATATAATCTTTATTAATACTTAGGCTTATAGTATATTAATACTAGATTAACTAGCTATTCTTATATTAAGTAAGATACCTTTAAATATACTTAATAGGTATCTTTTTTTAAAAATAAAGACTTAGCTATCTTTATAATCTCTTTATTTTATAAGGTTTTCTTTAATATAAAAGTAATAAATAGTATTATTAGCTAGCTTAACTAGTATATTTTCTAATAATAACTTAGCTTTTATTACTATAAAGTA